GAAAACCTATACTACGAAATTTGCCAAACATGTGGCTGTGATCGAGTTCGTCGTTCAAGAGGAGAAGGAAAAAAAAACTTGCACAGTTACGTGATTACACGCACGCCGATACGTTTGGTTTGGAAGGAGAAGTTGAACACGATTTTGCCTTCTTGTCGATCGGCCAGCTAGGATCAGTCAAACACTCATGACCCCGCCGTGATCGTGATGGAACGCATCCATCTAATAAGTGGCGAGCCCAGATGCGGATAGACGCAGCATCCTGATATGGTTTGCCTTCGGATGCTCACTTTTGCTGCCAGATTTGGGAAGATTCACGGCCAGATTCATTCGAAATCTGCACGAATCGTCTATCTTTGTGGAGTACGTACCAGAATTAGCATGCATGGCGGCCAATTTTGACTGCTATTGTAATGGTCGCCTTAGTATGGGAGGCCTGCGTTTCGGTTCATTGAACATGGACGCCGTCTCTTTTCACCGCCGAACATAAGTGCATTGAACCTGGTTCGCTGCACGTACATATTCACCCTGGCCGGCCGGTTAGAGGGCAAAATTAGCCTGGTATGCTGTTACGAACTGTCCAATAAATTTACTCCCTTATTGAATACATAAGAGATTTTGTTTTGCATGAGGGAAAAAGGTTCTCATTAGTCATGGAGAAATATAAGAGATTTCAATGTTGACTAATCCCTCCGTTTCGAATTACTTGTCGTAGAAATGGATATATCTAGATATATTTTAGTTCTAGATACATCCATTTCGAAGACAAGTAATACCGAACGGAGGGAGTACATACGAAGCAAACTGAGTGAACCTACATTCGAAATTACGTCTATATGCATAAAAGGTTGGAGGAAGTAAAACATGATGCATGCGTTACGATTTCCTGATCTTTTGGCACAAATGCTCAACATTACACTTGTCATGCATTATTATTGACGTTACAATTTACAAAGAACGTACGATCTTTTTTTTTCCGGCACGTTCCTCCTTCCAATCCTCTGCCCGTATTGTCCACGTTCACGGCTCCGCAGCTCTCCCAACTCCGGACTACCTGCCAGATCCTGAATTCCTGATCATAGGCTATAAATTGGCACCGTCCCCTGCTCGCTTCCCCACACCGCTCTTGATCGATCTCGCTCGCGCTCTCTTCTCTGCAAAAACATCCAGTCATCCATCCTACGATCCCAATGGCCCACGTCCTCGCCGCCGCCGAGCCCCTCACCCTCCTCAAGCGCCCGCCCCCGCAGAACGATGGCTTCGGCGACGACAACGGCAGCACGGAGGAGAAGGCGCCCAAGGCGCGCCGCCGGGAGTCCGACCCCGCGGCGGCACTGGCCGCGGCCCGGCACGAGTTCGGCGAGCACGGCGGCGTGAACATGTCCATCGAGGCCTCGGCCACGTTCACCGTGATGGAGCCGGACACCATGCGCCGGCTCTTCACGGGGGAGCTGGGCCCGGAGCGCGGCGACCTGTACATCTACAGCCGCCACTTCAACCCGACGGTGCTGGCGCTGGGGCGGCAGATGGCCGCGCTGGAGGGGACCGAGGCCGCCTACTGCACGGCGTCCGGCATGTCGGCCATCTCCTGCGTGCTGATGCAGCTGGTGGGCGCCGGCGGGCACGTGGTGGCGTCGCGCTGCCTGTACGGCGGCACCCACGCGCTGCTGTCCCGGTTCCTGCCGCGCACCTCTGGCGTGCAGGCGACGTTCGTGGACACGGACGACGAGGCGGCCGTGCGCGCGGCCATAAGGCCGGGGGAGACGCGGCTGGTGTACGTGGAGACGATGTCGAACCCGACGCTGGCCGTCGCCGACATCCCGATGCTGGCGCGGGTGGCGCACGAGGCCGGGGCCAAGCTGGTGGTGGACAACACCTTCACCCCCGTGGTCGTCTCGCCCGCGCGGCTCGGCGCCGACGTCGTCGTCCACAGCGTGTCCAAGTTCATCAGCGGCGGCGCAGACATCATCGCCGGTAAGGATGTACTCCCGGAAGTACTCCCAAGTTATGTTGCATGTTCCATGCAGGCATGCAATGATGCAAAGACAAGGAACGGCAACAGCTGTTGTTTAGAACGATCCACGTATGCTAGTTAAAAGTCCCACGCATGCAAGCCTATCTCCCCAACTTAAAAGTTCGATAAAGTCCACACGTACCTAGTTTTTTTAATTTCGGATTGCAACTACCCTCACGTTTTTAGTCAACCGTCATCTTATTTGGAATTAGCATTGCTTTGTTTGGAATTAACGGTGAAACTATCGTTCTCCGGACGTGTCATTAGTTCTGCAAGTTAGGAAAAAACTATACGGCAGTAGCATCACTAGACACACACACACAAACAGATGGTACGTGCGACCATGCATGGTGGGGCTAGCTACGCTCAAAGCAGCAGTGCTCACATGGAATGCCCTGAGACACGGGACGAATGGAAAAGGGCATCCCGGGGTTGCATAGATTCAACTAGAATAGCATCCATGTTTTAAAAAAACTAGTAGAACAACACTCCCTTCGTCCGGAAATACTTATCATCAAAATAAATAAAAGGGGATGTATCTAGATGTATTTTAGTTTTAAATACATTCTTTTTTGTCCATTTTGATGACAAGTATTTTCGGACGGAGGGGGTACTACTACTCCCTCCGTCCGTAGATACATCTCATTTTATCCATTTTGATGCCAAGTATTTCCGGACGGAGGGAGTAGTACTTAAGAAACAGTGGAATCGCGAGATTCTCTAGAAAGAAAATGATGGAATAGCGTTGAGTAGTAATTAGGAGAAACGGGTACCCCGCTAAGTAACGATTATGATAGGATCAATCGTAATCCTTAGTTTATATAGTTGGTCATATAATACTAGTAGTACTATTACTTATGCCTAACTGTGGACACAAACACGTGCTCTATTTAGATTAAGCACTATCCAACCTCCTAAGCAAATCTGCAGTAGCTACCTTACAGATACTCAGTACTGGATAGCACTCCTTCCGTCCGGAATTACTTGTCATCAAAATGAATAAAAATAGATGTTCTAGAACTAAAATACATCTAGATACATCCATCTCAATGACAAGTATTTCTGGAAGTACAATCATGGATATTTTGATACAAGATGATACTCCCTCTGCCTCAAAAAAGTGTGGCTTATTTATAGTGCATTTTTGTACGGAGTGAGTACTCTAGAAGCACAATTCAGTAGCGGGTAGTGATTCACTGCCGGTGGCCGGCCATCACTTTAAGGGAGCATGCATAGATGCAAAGAGGCTCTCGACACGGACGCCTCTCACTGTTGCACCCCACCCCACGCAAGGTGGTCGCCACGCCCGTGTGGAGACAAGGCCCAAAAGGACGAAGCGATGAGTCAGCGATGCTCACCCTCACACGTAGGAGTACGTACTACGAGTAGTCGTCTGTAGCCAGCAGCTACTTATCTCTAGCTAGTGACCCACCTAACCCGTTTTTGGCCGTGCACGCGTACGCTCCCTCGCATGCCACCACCACCGTCGATCGTTTCGCGGCCGGACGCGAATGATGGAGCCTCAGCTGCCTGCTAGCTCTCCACGGTCCATGGACGACGCGACGGGGTCGTCCTTTTTTTGGCTGCTTGCGCGTTTTCGCGCCATTTGGTTCATCATTGCGCGAGCGAGCTGTTCCTTCGCTTCCTTCCGCTGCCACCAGCACCGTAACAATTGCCAACCCGGCAACCCGTGAATGTCCTGGCATGGCATCGCTCCACGGTGACGATAGTATCTTGTGGTTGCGCTTTTGGTGCCTAGCGCGATCCACCAAAGACGAGCGCACCCACCCAACTTCTCTCTCGCAAACTTGCGCACTCTCCTGCAGTAGCACGAAGTAATAACTGTGCTAACAAAATGTTGACGATTCCAGGTGCGATCTGCGGGCCGGCGAGCCTGGTGAACTCCATGATGGACCTGCAGGACGGCGCACTGATGCTGCTGGGCCCCACGATGAACGCCAAGGTGGCGTCCGAGCTGGCTGGCCGCCTCCCGCACCTGCCGCTGCGGATGCAGGAGCACTCGCGCCGCGCCGCCGAGTTCGCCGCCCGGATGCGCCGCCAGGGCCTCCGCGTCACCTACCCGGGCCTCCCCGACCACCCGCACCACGCCCGGCTGCGCGCCATGGGCAACCCGGGCTACGGCGCCGGCGGCATGCTCTGCCTCGACATGGGCACCGAGGAGCGGGCCAACCGCCTCATGTACCACCTGCAGAACACCACCCAGTTCGGCCTCATGGCCGTCAGCCTCGGCTACTACGACACCCTCATGTCCTGCTCCGGCAATAGCACCAGCAGCGAGATGGACCCCGAGGACCGCGCCCGCGCCGGCATCTCCCCGGGCCTCATCCGCATGTCCGTCGGCTACAACGGCACCCTGGAGCAGCGCTGGACGCAGTTCGAGCGCGCCCTCGCGCTCATGCAGCAGCAGGACACCCCCGCCGCCGCCGCCAAGTACGGCAAGGCCGTCTGACGACGGAAGAGACTGAGTAAACCAAGCCCTGATCCTCATGGCGTGTAATATATTATATGCTCCTACATTTACTAGCTAAGTAAGTACGGTTAAGCGCCATCTGGACCAGATCAGATGGATGGACATGCCAGTGTGTTAAGCAGCACGCCTGATTAGTCTTTGGGGAGCGTACTGCGAGATGCATCATGCATGTGTTATCGGAATAAATTGTCGTCATTTTCTGTCAGTGATGATTTGTCCCGATTTTTCTTTTCGCTCGCACGCTTCGACTCTGCATTTACTGTGACTAGTTGCTGTCCATACCAACACCAGAATGCTGTTTCAGCAATCAGCTAAAGCTCTAAGATATCCAGTCAGGGACTCTGAAGTCGGAAGTTCTGAACTGAACTCTGAACTAGGCAGAGAAGAGAAAGCAACATGTCTCCTTTCTGCACAAATCGAAGGGTATCTCTCTCTGCTCTTTATTTCAGGTTGCTGCCATGTTTAATATTGGCGTTACTGCAGTTTCCAGTTTGCTCACGCGGTCTGAAATATGTTCTGAACCATCTTCTTCGGGCACTCCATCGCCGCGGCTTCCAGCTCTGAGATCTCATCAGGGCTCAGCCTCCAGCCGAGCGCACCCAGGTTGTCCTCCACATGTCTGACTGTTTTCACGCCCGGAATCGGAATTGCGCCGTTGCAAATGCACCAGTTTATAGCCACCTGCGTTCAGTTAAGCGTCAGGCTTTGTTTATCAGTGTCAAAAAAAATCAGATTTGTATATGTATGAATATATATATGCAAATGGCAAATTACATTGACCAACGCAGGACAGTCTCTTCTAGAAAACTCTAGCTAGCGGTAGTGTCCTTGTCGTTATTCAGTCACATGTACTCGGGTTTTGGTAGAATTTTGGAGATAATGCTGCAGGCAGATTCTATTTGAATGGCCTTGGGTCTTATGTTTGCCTATTTGTTCAATGTCGATGTTTGACATTTACTTGGCATAATTAAATACTCTCTCCGTATCGAAATATATGTCGCTGGAGTAGTTGAGCCAGCTACTCCAACTACATATATTTCGAGGGAGTAGAAAAAAATGTTGTATGTGCATCAATCAATGCAGAGGCAAGAGGATACCTTCTTTACAAAGGAAAAAAACCTACACGAGGCAAGACTGCAAGAGCATGACCACCTCTTAGGCTACATGTGGGACCGCCCGTGGACATCATACCTCAATCCACTTGATCCTGACATGGCCTATAGTGGGGAGCCCACCCAATACGTAGGTGGGCTTGGTGGGCAAATACAATCCCACTAAGGCCAACTCTTGCGCACGATCCCAAACAGATGTCCGTTTTAACCGAATTCTGTCCGTTTTACCCGGATTCTGTCCGTTTGGGTAGGCCAATGAGGTCGTGTCCGAGTCTTTTCTGGGATGCGGTGGCCGTGCGCCCAACGCACGGACGCATCCTGGCTGCCTCCTTTTTCAAACGCAAATATTCGAATAACCACGACCCGTAGTTCATGCCAGCCTACACGACCTTGCCGGTAACACAGCCAACCTACACGGCCTCGCCGGCAACATAGCCAGCCTACACGACCTCGCCGGCAACACAGCCAACCTCCAAAATGAATAGTTTTGTCGCCGGCACACAACCAGTGGCTGGTACCCCATGCCAACCTCCCAAAATAACGGCCACGGCCAAACAGACCACCTAGTTCAGGCTGTCGGCGTCGAACATCTCCTTCTGTCGGGCCTCGAACCAGCTCCTCGTCTTTTCGCTCATCTTGCTCATGTCGACGCTCATGATCGCTAGCGCCACCTCTTTTGCTTTGGTTGCGGCATTGGTGGCCTCGATGTCGAGCTGCCTCTGCCTGGCCGCGGCATTGGCGGCCTCGATGTCGAGCTGCCTCTGCCGAGACGCCTCCTTCATGTCGATCTTCCTCTTCTTGGCCGCCTCCTCCATCTCAAGCTTCTTCATTTGAAGCTCCAGGTATTGCTTCATTTGGTCCTCCTTGCTTTGTCGCTTTTTCTCGTCCCTCACATCCTTTTGAGACATCATGTCGTGCAATGTCTCGTGCAAGGCAAAGGATGACGCATCACGCTTCTCGTCCATCTTGGAGTTGGTCTTGCCCCTTGGCCTCTTCAATGCCTCACCATCTCCACCTCCGGCCAACGCGACCGTCTTCTTGCCTCTCTTCCTTTGAAGTTCGCGGTATTGATCTTTGAACTTAGGGCAATTGTTGATGAGCGTCCAACAATGCGTACGAGTGAATGGCTTGTCATTGTGCTGGGCCTTGAATGCTTCCAAAGATTGAAATGCGTACACGATCAACAACAATTGGACATGCAAACATATAGAAGGCCGAAGGCCGAAGTCATGGCCGTAGCAACGAAAGATAAGAGACCATACCATGCCCCCAATGTCGAGACCACTCACGGGACGTGCTTCAACGCTCTGGAGTGCGGCACAATACTTGTTGCATTCTTGTTGGATGAACAACCACCTCTTTTGAATCAAGGTGATGCCACAGTCACTCGTAAATTGGTAGGGTGGAAACAACTTTCTTTCATGGAATGTTTTGTGAACTCTTGTCCAAAAAACAAGTCCCTTTTGTTGCACACCGATCCTCGGATCTTGACCAACCTCTATCCAACTTTGGCAAATCAACTTGTCCTCCTCTTGTGAGTATGATCCCGCACGAATGCTCTTCTTCCTCTTTTGTGCTTCCGCTCTTTGTGTGAGCTCGTCGATGAACAATGCTCGCCCCCAATATTGATGCCTTCCTCTTCTTCATCACCTTCACCTTCGCAATAGATGTCATCATCTTCATGTCACGAGTCACCATGATCGTGGGGCTCAATGTCTTCATCAGCAACGTACTGGCCGCGGCCATCCTTACTCTGGGTCTCGGGATCGTAGGCACCGCCATGACCACCCATCTGGAAGGCCTCACCACGACCCTCATAGATGACATCCTCCATGAACTGGTTGTTGAAGGGGTCGTCGACCGTTGGCATTGGTGTTGACATTTCGCCGAACATGACGCAGCGCGACGTCATGGTGGCCGTAGATGGCGGCCGTGCTTGCTTTTTTTGCATCTCAACGGGCGGCCGCCACTGCTGGACCCCGGCGTGACGTTGAGGTCGAAGACAGCCGAGGGGCGCGGGATGGACGGCGCGATCACGCCAACGTCCGGCGACCCCGAGAAACGGCTTTGGCCTTCGTACCTTGGTGGAGAGAAACCGGGCGACAAAGGCGTGGTCCGCGACGTCGGCAAGGGGCACTGCGGAGGCCGGACGACCGATGAGCCTGTGTTGGCCGGGCAGACGGGCGCTGCCGAGAAACTCGTCGGACGGCAAATCCTAAGCATGAGGGTGTGGGCTTTGTTGACGATTGCCTCCTTCTCGTCGACGTCGGCCTTGCGCCGTGCGGCCTCCAACGCAGCGCGCTGGCGGCGAACTTGGCCGCGGCGTTCTTGCCCTTGGCCACCGCCCTCCGGTTCCTCCTCTTGGCCGATTCCGCCTCCAGCTTTGCGAGCTCCGCCGGCGTGAGTTTCAACCGCCGCTTCTTCGGACCCTTGGTCGCCTTCTTCACCTTTTCGGGCGGGTCAACGGTTGGCCGCCTGAATACGGTGGGGCATCGGCCATGGCAGGAAGGTGGTGGGCGGAGGGGAGGACGGGACATGGGAGGGTTTGGGAGGAAATGGCGCGAAAAGGGGCGCCGGGCGGGCCATGGGAGGACAAGCGCGCGTGTCCCGCCCGTCCGCGCGCTGTCCATTTCACCTCAAAAGCGGCCTAAACTTAGATCGAAGATGGGTTGAAAGCAGACATAAAACAGACAAAAAGTTCGTTTGCGCTTGCGCGCTGGGCCGTCTGGTATGTCCGTTTTATCCTAAACGGACGCACCCGGATTGATGGGGTCGCACGCTGGGTTGGCCTAAACATGGGCAAAGACATTGTCATTGGGAGCCTGGTCGTGGTGGAGAAACAAGCAAAACGCCGCGGGCGGTGGTCGTGACTTCGATTGGAGTGTATCACTTTCCACACGAGGTCACACGCATACCATGGGCGAGAGGAACCGGCATGTGACCATCTAAGTACGGTGAATTTGTCTGAGTAAGCATCGCTCGTTGGCGGTGCAAAAGCTTGTCAGTTGTGTCACCCCTATCTATTTTCTATGAACATTTTTAGATATTGGGAACATTTTTAGAAAAAAAATCCAGTTTTTTTGAATTTGTGTTTTTTTATAATGGGAAAGTTTTTCAAAATTCCAAACGTTTTACAATTTATAGAATATTATTTTAATTAGTGGACATTTCAAAACAATATTTGGAAATACGTTTTTTTAAAACCCAAACCTTTTTTGAGTTTGCGAACAAATTTTGAAAATGAAACATTAGAAAAATCCAATCAATATTCAAAAACAAGAATATATTTGTAAATTTTGAATTTTTGAATATAAAGCAAAACTGGATGAAAAGTCACAGAAAAACCAAAAAAGAAAGAAAAGAAAAAACTTCGAATTAAAAAAGAAAACGTTAGAAAAACGAAAACAGGATCAGGAGAAGTTTTCCAAAACATATTAGGAACCTTTCAAAAGGTTCCCAATATCGGATCCGGTACTGTGTTTTCTCTCTACAAATGGGTCGGCCATACCTCTGCCGCTCGCTCAATCTCATGTGTGAAGGGATGACACTTTGACGTAAAGCACATCATATAGGAATTATCGCTTCACCACTAATATTATGGTCACTCGACGCTCGCTTGACTTGAGCGCTGGCCCAGGCCCATTGGCAGCTAGGGACGTGACCTCACGACCGAGAAAGTGTGTTCGAGCTAGGGTTCGAACCCGCGACGCTCTTCCTACAAGTACGCCGGCACAACCACCAGACCAACTAACCTTGTGTGTTTAAGTTGTGGGTTGTTTGGCCTTTTGTTCCTTTTTTTCATCTTTTATCAAATTCATGAAAAACCATTGCGAAAGAAATTCGTGAACTTTTTCTTGAAAGTAGATGAACTTTTTTATAATTTGTGAACTTTTTTCTTCAAAGTAGATGAACTTTTTTCAAATTTGATGATTTTTTTCAAAGTACCGATTTTTTGTCAAAATTGATGAACTTTTTTTCAAACTCGATGAACTTTTCCAAAATATTTTGAACTATTTCACAAAATCAATGAACTTTTTTTCAAAGTCATGAACTTTTTTGAAAAATCGGTGAACTTTTTTCAAATTCATGAACTTTTTTATAAGTTTGATGATTTTTTTTCGAAAATCAGTGAATTTTTTAGAATCCATGAGAATTTTATTTTCGAATTATTCTTCTGAAATTTCAAAAAAAAAATCTCAAAAGTCAACGGCCAATGGTCGACTGATCTACCACTACCAGTCAACCACGAAGAAACGGTCGCCAGGAAGAAACGGTCGAGCAGGGAAAGCCAGGAAGCGCGCAACGTACGCGAGCTCGTCTGCTCGTTGTTGGGCCGGCCCATGTAGCCAGGCGCACGGGCGCTGGTTTCCTCTACGGACGCATAAGGCGCCAGCGAGGCACCTATTTGACGCATTCCGCGTCAAACAGACGTACCTTCGCACAGGATGCGCGCGACAGGGCCGGCCCATTAAGATTAAACTCGCGCAGCGCGACAGGGCCGGCGCATTAAGATTAAACTCGCGCAGATGCACCTTCGCACAGGATGCGCGCGACAGGGCTGGCCCATTAATATTAAACTCGCGCCAGCAAAATTTCGTAAAAAGAAAACAGCACCAGAGCTGCAATTCGAACTGCAGACCTCCCGTGTGTGGACGAATCTGGTTAGCCACCACACCCATTGATCGTTCATGGTAAATATTTGGCTCGAAGATAATGACCTAAAAATAGTGGCGTAAATTGAGCATTACTAGAAAACTGTAAACATTTTTTTTGAAATTACGAATACTTTTTGATAAACGGGACCAAATTTAAATTTTCCGAGCATCTTTTGAAACTATGAATAAATTATTAATTCCTGAAGATTTTTTGAATGTGTAATAAGACTTGAAAAGTCGTAGATCTTTTGAAAATCCGAACAATTTTCTATGACGAGAACATTTTATAAATTTACCGAACATTTTTTTTCATAAAACGCAAATAATTTTCCAAATTTGAGAAAATGATTTGAAAACGCAAACATTTTTTAAATTGGTGAACAAAAATTTAAAACAGGTACAACTTTTGAAATGCAGAACAAAATTTTGAATTTGAGAACAATTTGAAAATCCTGAAGATTTTTTGTATATGTGAACAAAAAATTGAAAATGGAAACATTTTTTGTGAACGTGAAGAAATTTTCAAATGCCGGCATATTTTTGGAAAACGCAAACATTTTATAAATTGGTGAACATATTTTGAAAACAGGTACAACTTTTAAAGAAGAACAAAATTTTGAACCTGGGAACAATTTTAAAATCCTGAAAATTTTCTGTACATGTGAACAAAATATTGAAAATGGAAACATTTTTTGATAACTTCAAAGATTTTTTGTAAAACACACAAAAAAAGTTCCAGAACATTTTTTTGAAAATGCAAACATTTTTAAAATTGATGAGAAAACTTGAAAATGGGTACATTTTTTCAAATGCAGAACAAAATTGTGAATCTGATACAATTCAAAATCTGAAGATTTTTTGTTTACGTGATTTTTTTGAAAAGGGAAACATTTTTCCAAAATTTGGAAAAAATATTTGTATAACACGAACAATTTTTAAAGCTTCAAACAAGTTTGAAAATACTGAAAGAAAATTGGAACCGAAAACAAAATATGAATATTTGGAACAATTTTGAAATTGTACAACTAAAAGAAAGAAAAAAGAAGAAAAGAAAAAGGAAACAGGAAAACAAAACAGAAAAAGAAAGAGGAAAAAAAGAAACAGAAAAAAAAAGGAAAAGAAACCGGTTCAGGATCGTTCTGGATCCCAAAACCGAGAAAACCGGCTAGGAATCTTCTGGAACGTTCCCAAAACCGGAACTGCCAGATATGTAGATGGGCCGGCCCAATCAATCGCTCCCCTGTGCGTCTGGTCGACACTTTGAAGCAGAGAACGTCAAATAGGTTTTTCCAGCGAGGAGCTCTGTGTTGCTCGCATGGAGCGATACACAACACCTCCTCCTATTACCGAGTAGGCCGGCGCATGTGGAGTGGCCGTATATGTTGATATGTGGGGCAGATGGGCTCTGGTAGGCTGAGTTGGACAGCCCACAATTTTTTTGTCATAACCGGTGGGCTCCCATGAAACGTTTTAAGGCTCTGTTTGTTTCAGCTTTAGGCAGCAGATTTTTGTAGGAAAAATTGGAAACCAAAACAAACAACTATTTGTAATTGTCTTTGCCAGTGAAGCTGAATCTAGATCCGGGCCCTTTTCAGTGCAATTTCCTGAAGCACGTCCAAGGGTACTTGAGTGGTAAAGCAAATTCTGCCAGTGAAGCTAATCCACATGTGATTTGAAGCCAACAGGGCCTAAGTGGGATGCGCTTGATCTTGCCGACTAATGCCTGTGCCCACCTGCAGCCTAAACCGCCTCACATTCCTAGCTACACGCACACGTCCCAGACATGCCGTATCTCGTGCAAAGCTATTGTTAGCAAAGGAGGAAAAGAAGCTGCAATTTTCGTAGAGATTCAAGAATTGGGAGGAGCTTTTGGTAGGTGTGTTCAGTTATACTCGTAGGGAAGCCAATGAGGCAGCTCTCAGACGTGCAAAACAGGCTAGCCGAGATGTCTTATGGACTTCATTCCTGCTTTTCTTACTGATGTTTTACAGTATGATTGTAATCCTTCTTAGTGTTTAATAAAGCTCCTTGATTGAAAGAAAAAACCAGATGTAAAATTACGGCATGCATATGGTTTCCTAACATATCCTGGTAGGTTAAAGCCACAAGAACTCTGCATTTACTCTGTAAAAAAGACCCCTTGCCCTGACAGACTCATCATTTAGCAAAATTCGGGTCACTCCAAAGTCGTTCTGCACTTAGGAAAATACGTACCTGGGACATGGTCTTGCCCTTTCGGTCGGCAATACTCTTCAAGCAAGACAGCAGGGATTCCAGCCCAGGAAGAATCTGCCGGAACAACACAGATCTGCATTGCATGGTATGTTCAGAAAGAGAAGAACAGGCACCCACTCAGCAACTGCCATGCAAGTTCAGAACAAGATAACGACGTTTTTGCTCGTCCCCCATCGGCCATTACCTTGGCCCATTTGGAAGGTTAGAGGCGTCATATTTCCCGGTGAGCATGCCCAACCCAAGAGGGCTATAAGCGATTAGCCGAACACCCAGGGAATCGCACACGGTTTTCAGCTCCATCTGCTCATCGCCCATGCTCAGCAGAGAGAACTGCACCTGCATTCACAGTAAGTTTGAGGCATAACTACACTGAACGAGAAGTATAGGTAGGCCCAATAGGCCGAACATGCACGGCCAGCCATTTTCTCGCAGCTACCTGAGCTGAGCTCAGGGGAACACCTCTGGATGCTAGGTAGCTGTGGATCTTCAGAAGCTGCTTCGGCCCGTAATTGCTCACACCCACGGCCCGGACAAGACCCTGAAAACGCCACAAACTTCCAGTCAAATGAATGATAGGAAACGTAGCATGGCGTGGCACTGCACAAATCATAATTCAGAAACTTTGGCCAGTTATGTGTCTGAAGAAATGATAGTCAAATCATACATATGTAGGACTGAATGTGCACTGCACAGAAAGGAGTTCAGAAACTTATATCTATGGCACGATATGATTTGTCTGAAAAAATGGCAACCTTGTCATACATTTCAACTAGACCGTCCCAGAGAGCGCGCTCCTGCAGAGGTGCGTAGTTAGCAGTAGACCAATGCAGCTGCCCTATTCCGAGCCGATCGATCTGTAACCTTTCTAATGATGACCTGCAAAAGAGGCACTCCATAAGGTGATTAGAAGCTCAAGGTAATGTAACTGCTCAGATATGCTCCGTCCCAGGTGAGCTATATGTTTCTGCACAAATCCACTGAATGGAGTTGAACAAAAGGAAATATGGCTGATGTACATTAAGCACACAAATTGGAGGAGTACTTGCAGGCGTTGACAAACTGGCCTGACGTCAGTCGCCAAGGATATGCGGCAAACTTAGTTGCGATAATCACATCATCTGGAGACTTTATTGGCCCTATGACAATACAAGGGCATACAAAGTGTCATAAATTTTAAGCCATAGAAATGATAGATAAAGTTTTGGTTCTCGGTTGCTGAATTCATTTTAAGCAAATTATGCTATCCAACGATCCAAACCTTGGCACTCGCGGATAAATTTGCCGAGTAGCCTTTCGCTTTGGCCATTCAACTTCCCAGTTCCATAAGAGTCGGCGGTGTCGAAAAGGTTTATGCCATTCTTCAGAGCCAAATTGAAACACTCCTGCAGTTCACTATCCATGCTTTCCTGGTAGCCCCAGAGCAGCTGGTTGCCCCATGCCCATGTTCCAAAACCCATGGGGGAAACCGAAAGGGGCCCAACTTTCACCTACATTTGTGAAACAGCAATGTTTCCTTGAGCAGATTTCAGTGAACAAGAGTTGATAACCTAACGTACTAATTGTACAGTCCTCATTTTTTTTTCCTGAAGATTGTGTTGCATGTTATGGTTCAGACTGTCATGTGAGCATACAAGAGCAATTAGCGAGTTGGCTTTACAAATTTCTGGACACCGCACTTGTTAAAAGTTCAATGTTGCTCTGGTCCATCAGGACATTGTGGAAGAGGGATAAGAGCTGATCAGGTCAACTAACCCTCTGCTTGTTTTGACGGTGGTCTGATGAATCAACCAACCCTTTTTCTCCTTTTCTCGAGAGGTGCTATCAACCAATTTTACTAGAGACGCTATGTCAGTAGCTTTTCACCCACCTAGAGTTAAAATAAGCGCAGCAACAGCAAACTTCTGTCAAGCCTCTAACCGTTCTCATGCGATGTGGAACTTTTGGGTCGCCGTGCACGGCTTCGGTAAAGAGGAACGGCAGAATCAGAATGCATATCGACAATAGCTCTGAACCAAACGAACATGGACTTTTTTCCGTTTGATCCGCAGCCCCTGGGACACCACAGATTAAAGTACTGCTACTGCTACTGCTAATCTAATCGCGTTCCTGCCTCGTGAACAAGTGTGGGTGTGTGCGAATTCAGACGGAACATGAAGTTTGTCCTCGTGTCTCATCTACTCGCCATGTTCTTTGATGGCGAGCTGTACTGTACTGTAGGTTCAGCACAGCTCATGTCATGTCGTGAAATCAGCAACGCAGTGTGGAAGAGAGGGTGCTGTGTAACCATTCAATGTTGTGTCGATAGTCTGATGCTGTGTCAAAAACTGCAAGCAACCCCTGCATGCCTGCTTCACAGTTCACGGCGCAAGTGCTACTATAGTTTAAGGCTCTGGAATTCTGGATAAGCAAGACTGCAATGTTTATCAAAAACAGCGGAAGTGCTCCGATGGTTGCGCGACTCTAGCTCGTCGCTATGAAATTCATGCAAAATCGATGTGAAATCGCCGCATTCCAACCGGTATAAATATGCACGACATGTTTTAGGAGAGCTGGCGTGTCGGGACCTTTTGCCACGGCCAGAAGAGGGGTCCGAGGCGCAGCGCCGCGGCGGGCGGCGGCGGTGACGAAGGTCGCCGGAGGAGGACGCCTCCGCCGTGCGGCTGCGACGAGAAAGGCGTCGCCGGCGCCGCCTTGGCAGCCGGCAGAGCCATCGTCGGTGGAGGGTGAAGAGGGAGGGAGGAGGCGCGTTCGTTCGTGTCCGTTCGTCTCGCGATAAAACCCCGTTCGTTTCGATGCGGCACGCGTTGCGTTTTACTGGCATGTGCATCGCACGTGATCTCCTTTTTTCCTTTTAAAACTAGTAAACTTGCATGCTATTAACATACAAATGATCTAAATGCTCTTATATTAGTTTACAAAGGGAGTATCAAACATTTGTAGTTAGCTGTGCTATTCTCCACAATAAATAAATGAAAATGTAATCTGTGCAATGAATAAGGATTATCTTGAGGGTACATCATCTTTGCAAAATATTTATGTGATAGCAACTTAATTATATGAAGTACATTGCTTGACTATTACCAAAAAAATGAAAGCTGATTTGTAACTTTGCCTTGTATCTTGAGCCTCTGGACATTAGAGTGCAAACTTTCTGTTGACATGTTCTTGTGGCGGTAGTCCATGAAAATGCCTATGGACGTAACAAGATTATTTGGAATGCTCGCGGCCTGCACTTACAGTTTACAAATATCAGCGAATGATACAATGATGTCCTATAATAAAACCAGTTTCTCAACAAATAATCTCATCTAGCATCTGAATCAAATCTCATGCACCATGCATTATTTGTAGATGGGGAAGAACAAGTCTACGGAAACCAAAAAAAGGTTTCGGTAATAAGTAGCAAAAGAACTATTCTGGCAGTAACAAAAGCAGAGACCTGATGATTTAGCATCACTCAAAGGCTATCCAAAGATGGAGAAATCAAGAATGAAAAAACGATAATCACCTTGAGCTTCTGAAGAGTTATATGTGTGCGACTATACTTGTTCTGGAGGTGCATTTGGCAAGGTGTCTAGGGAGCCAGTTGCCGTCCCTGCAATGTCAAGTCTGTGAAACGGGGCACACTTAGTGGAATTGAAATGAATTCGTGCCTGGTTGGTTATCCATCTGCAGGAAAAGATGACCCGGACTGTTGTATTTCCTGTTATTTTCCAACTTGAATTAATAGTGGAGTAATCTGTAGCACTAAAAAATGATGCAATTAAAAGTGAAATGTGACGTAGTTCTGGATAAAAACATATGATACAGACAAGGTTAGTAAAATCTGAATAGTCCAATTACCGAACAAACAAATCAAGGTTAAATATGGTAGGTTATCTAGCGGAGGTGGATACAAATTCAGGTTAAACTGCAATGATAGGCCGTAGAAGGAAAACAAGAAAATGATCAAAGAAACAAATATGCATCTAAGGTAAGTATGAAAGAACAAGCATATTTAAACTGCACGGAACCACTATCACCCTTCGGCGAGGGAAGAATCACATGAATCAGCACATGGGATTTCTTCACTTCAGCATGTAAATCTACATAGCAACAATTCATTTCTAATAATAAGTACATCCTCAATCCTCATACCATATTTAAGTAGCGACACAACCAGTTTATAATAAGAAAATCACCGATTGGAACCAAAATTTCACAAAAGCTTAGTATCTGCCCTTACGGTATATTCTTCCACTGAGAAAAAGCAAATGCGTCTAAGCCATGTAAATTAGCACCAAGGATACTTGATGAATCAAACAAAAATTTGTGCATCCCATTGAACAACACTATGTTATTCTCCTCCATGGCGAGGCGGGCTTCATGACATTTTGTTGTAGTGCCAGTTGGGCAACCCCATCAAATTTGCTTCTGACAGACAGTCTACATACACACAAACTAAAAATTTCATTTCTCATAAGAGATTCCTAATCCTTAGTATGAAATAGGTAAATTTACAAAAAATAATATGGAAGATGATCAGAACTACAACACATGATCGGAGATAATTTCCATGCATATAGCCAACAATTCCATGGAGGCCTTACAACTTACAAGAGAAAGATGCACTGAGTGACATGTTGAGGTGCGTTGGCAGATCGTGCAGCTTCCTTGGCCTGGTCCATCTTGGCGATTCCACGCAGGCTTCCATTCTGTAGAAGAGCCAGATACCGGGGGAAAACATCATGTTAACCAAAGGTCTGAAATCTGCCATTTCTGCAAACTGAAGTTTTGGCATATTATCCAGATGAAGCAAGTTCAGTGTTGTGAGTTTAGAAATGCACGTGCAACAAAATTCAGAACTATGTGTGAAGCAAAGGTCCGAAATCTATCATTCTGCAAACTAAACTTTACCATAAGAAAGAGAAACTCAAGGGAACTCAGGTACTCAATGGGAAGGCCTTGCCATCCATCAGAGAGCTGCAGATCATCTCCACATGGAAGGGAGGAAGGAGTTCGGTAATTTTGTTAAGATAGTCAATGGAAAGAAAGAAGTTCCTGGCCTTAAGAGTGCAGGTCCGCGCATACAACAACTGCCGTCATTACAAGGGCCACGACACGACTTGACCTGCAGCAACGAAGGGATAATGTATCTGATATTGTTCGGCCTCGCTGAGGTCGTTCTCTTGCAATTGCCGAGCCTGGAGAAGGTCACCTTATCTCCATCGTCGCCGCCGTCATTTCCTTCCCCTACTCCTTCGTCGCGCTCTTCCCGAGTGCCGCGACCTACCCGTAAGGACAGGCCGATGGGGTGGGGCGGGCGGCTCCGTGTCTAGTGGCGACCCTCAACGGCTTACAGGTGCGGGCGGCTCCCTACGGCGAAGGGCACGGGGTGGGACGGGCGGCTCCCTGCGGCGAAGGGCGCGGGGTGGGGCGGGCGCACTGGTAGAAACCAGAGCTTTAAAACCGGTTCATAAGGGCCTTTAGTGCCGGTTCTGCAACCGACACTAAAGGGTGGAGACTAAAGGCCCCCCCTTCAGTACTGGTTTGGCACGAACCGCCACTAAAGGCCCACCACGTGGCGTGAGCTCGTGCCGTGGTATGGGGGACCTTTAGTACCGGTTGGTGTTACCAACCGGTACTAAAGTTTTTTTTTGAATTTTTTTTGAAAATTTTGTAAAAAATATTTGATTTTTTTCGATTTTCAATTTTCTGAATTATTTGATGATTTAGTCTCTAATCACCCCTCTTAACTGCTCAAGTGTGGATCACTCATTCCAAATCGTCTAAATTCTCGACCGGTCACCCATCCTCTCACTCCCCCAGCCTGAGCACGCTTAACTTCGGAGTTCTATTTCCCCTACTTTCCAAGTATACACTTGTTGTTTTCCTGATAAATATAAGTTGTCAACCATATTAACCCTCAACAGTTTAGCTTGAGCATTAGGTCACACATTTCACTGTTTTAGTTTGGAACTATTATTCTAAAAAACAGTTAGTAACACTAATATTTCTTGAATAAGTTTGACCACAGTTTGACCATAGTTTGACCAGATTTGACCAAAATTCAAAAAATTGAAATAATTATTTAGTAACACTAATATTCCTGAATAATTATGTAGCAGCATTAATACTTCTTGAATAAGTAGTTTGACCATAGTTTGACCACATTTAACCAAAATTAAAAAAACTGAAATTCGAGCATATCTTTTTTTCCTTTTGGAATTTGGATTCTAAAAAATTGCAAACAAGCCATAGGCTGACAAAATCGGATGCGGATTTTCGTGCTGAATTTTTTGATATATTATACGTTTTTTTCCGACATCGTATGCAAAAGTTATAGCCATTTTATATTTTCCCTACACTTTTTGCAAAACATGTCCAAATTTAAGTTTTTAAATTTTCCTAACTAGTAGATGTAGTAATATAACTACATCTCGAAGAATTTTATTTTTTGAATTTTGTATCATTTTCTTTTGTATTTTTC